GGGCTCAGAAGGGTGGGAAGAGATGGACTGTTTTTTCCAGAAAAGGCCAGATTATTCAGGCATTCACCCCTCCCCCAGACCTCCTGGCAGCACAACCCACTGATGCCTCTTTTCCTAACCCATAGGAGACAGCAGCTCTCTCTGCTGGGCTATTGGAGGTGGAGTGACCCTCTCCCCAGCATGACATGAGCAGCCCAGGCCAGAGTCAACCCTGGACACAGGGGGGCCATGCGTTTCTGCAAATTCCCCAGAGAAAGGGGTCTCCACACTTGACCCATCTCAAACTGCCACAATAAGGCAAGGGACAGTTGATGTCCAGTCCTTCAAGCACAGGACAGAAAGAGGAAGAGGAAGGAAGATGGAGTTGGGGCAGGTGACTGAGAAATTCAGGGAGTCAACTGGGAAGAGGAATAGGTGACAAAGAGAGGGTTGCTCAGGGCCTGCAGGTTTCAGGGAAAGACTCCTGGTTGGGGGGGAGTGTCCCATTTCATCATTTCTGTCTTTTCTCCAATGTGTATCTGCTAATAAGACTAGGGGAAACTTGAGGACAGGAGCCATCTGTCTAGAGTTCAAATAGAAAAAGCTGCTGTGAAAGTGAGACCAAACTCCTGTTGCATCTCTCCAGACCCATGTAAGCCAGGAATGCGGGCTGGCTAGGGCCTCCCAGTGCGGGCCTCCCTAAGAGGGTGGCCCCGTGAGCATGGTGCCCTCCTGCTCCAAATGGTCCTGCGGTCTCTGCGATCCCTGCCCAGACTCTTCCTGCTGTCCCCTCCATCCTGTGTCCCCAGCTCTGGGGGTGGATCCTGGTCCTCCCACATGACTGCCATTGCTGCTGTGGTCCTTTCCTCCCATGACCAACACTGTCCCTGGAGCTTGCCCTTATCCAAAGACCCCTGCTGGGGCCCCACAGTGTGCTGTGACTCTTGGCTGGCGGTGGCCATAGGAGGAAAAATTTGGAGCCAGGCTTGAGTGAGGCTCTCCCTCACTTTGTTTAGGGGTTGACCTGGAATCCATTCCCTCCATCTCCCCAGCACTTCTTCACCCTTCCCCCTGACATTTTGTCTTTGTCTTTGTGAAACCACCAGAATTTCTCTTTCCTGCCTTCTCTCTCCATCCCTCCTCTCCATCGTCCATTCATCCTTCCCCTCTCTCTCTTGCCAC